ATCCACTCATCTCGGCCTCCCAAAGTGCTGGGATTACAGGCTGAGCCACCAAGCCCGGCCAGTTGCAAACATTTTAAACTTGGGAGATTTCATGTAAAAATTCACATTTTCAATTATCTGGCAGCATGGAACTCACTCTCTGGTGTGGTGGGCATGGTATCTGCATGTGCCGTCACTCTGGCCAGCTTCTTCCTCCTTGGTCCCTGGGGCATTTGATTTATCAGCCAACCCCTATACACCCAACCACGGTCACACATACTTCCCAGGAGTTTTTTATTTTTTTATTTTTTGTCGAGAGGAGGTTTTGCCAAGTTGCCCAGGCTGGTCTTAAACCCCAGAGATCAGGTAATCCTCTCTCCTCCGCCTCCCAAAGTGCTGGGATTACAAGTGTGAGCCATCACACATGGCCCTAGCAGGCAGGAGTGAGATAACTGACTGATGCTGAAAATATGGTGCAGAGGCCAGCCCAAAGAAAGAAACACAATGCTCCAGAGATCAGACTTGGGGGTTGTGCAGTGTCACATGGGGACCTGAATATCTAGAGGAAAGTGGGAGGAGGTGGGCAGTGAAAAGAAGTGAATTGTTGCTTCACAATTCTGGACTGTGTCCAGCACTACAGTGAACCTTCTCTATACCCTTAGTGCTACAGGTCTTTTTTCTTTTCCTCCTGTGCTCATGGCAGAGGTGATTAATCAGTCACAGTTCACGCCACCTCTGAACCCAGATGCAACTTCAAAATCATTTTGTCAGCCAAGCCACAGTGGCTCATGTCTGTAATCTCAGCACTTTGAGAGGCCAAGGCAAGAGGAGTGCTCGTGCCACTGCACTCCAGCTTGGGCAACGGAGTGAGAAAAATAATAATTTATATAACAAGAGAGCAATCCCTGCCCCACCTCTCCCTACACTAAGTCTCCCTCCTGGGCACTCATCTTGGGTTAGAGTTCTGCTGTTTTTCCACTTATCTCCCATTAGCACTATATTCAGATTTATATCTTTTTTCTGCTCCACCCCTCCCTCAGCATACTGAGTTTATCACTTTTTAAATTCTTTGCCAATTTGGGAGGTGTTAAATGGCATCTTATTGCATTTCTTTTTTTTTCTTTTTGAGACAGAGTCTTGCCTGGGCTGGAGTGCAGTGGCATGATCATAGTTTACTACAGCCTCAACCTCCTAGGCTTAAGCTATTCTCCTGCCTCAGCCTCCCAAAGTGCTAAGATTACTGGCATAAGACACTGTGCCCAGTCCTTATTGCATTTCTTTGCTTTTTAATGAGTTTGTTTTTTTACTTTTTTTTGCTTTTGAAACTAATTTGGCAAATTGATAAACAACATCTCATCATGTTACCAAATGCCAGGGGTGGCTGGGGTCCTGTTGCTTGCCTCACAGAAAGTCAATCACTGAGACAATGCGTATTGCCAGGGTAGAAGGCCCTTTATTTGGGTAATATCAGCTAAGGAGAACAGGACATTCATTCTCAAATCTGTCTCCCCATTCCACTGAAGTCAGGGGTTTATATAATGGGGTGGAGTATAAAAACCAGGAATTAGGGAGGGATCAGGAAGAGGAGTCAGTAAGCAGGAGGAATCTGGCATCTCATTGACTGGATGTGATGATCTGGTGAGTTTCAATTTCTTTATACTATAGTCCTGAGGGTTGGTTTCCTGAGGTAGGAACTCAGATAAGACAAATGTGAGTTTCAATCTTGAAGAACAGGAGTAGCAATTACTGTGTTTATTTAAAAAGAGGCCAGTACAGTAGCATACCCCTATAATCCCAACATTTTGGGAGGCTGAGGTGGAAGGATTGCTTTAGCCCAGGAGTTGGAGAACAGTCTGGATAACATAGTGAGATCTCATCTCTACAAAAAAAATTTTTAAAAATTAGCCGGGCATGATGGTACATGCCTGTAGTCCCAGCTACTTGGAATGCTGAGACAGAAGGATAGTCTGAGCCCAGGAAGTTGAGGCTGTGGTGAGCTGTGATCCTGCCACTGCACTCCAGCCTGGGCGACAGAGTAAGACTCCGACTCAAAATTTTAAAAATTAATTAAATAAATAAATAATAAATCCATACATAAGAAACCGTAACCATTAGTTCTACAGTGATGTTGAACTGGTTTCAATTGAGTTTCTTTAATTATTAACAAGAATGAAATTTTTTTACTTTTTTTGTCCATTTGGACAATCATCTGACATGAACTTTGCTCCTGTTTTCCTTTGGGGTGGTCATCTTTTTCTCTTTCTTTTCATTTCTTTTTTTTTTTTTTGAGTTGGAGTCTCACTCTATTGCCTAAGTTGGACTGCAGTGGCATGATCACAGCTCAATGAAGCTTCAAATACCTAGACTCAAGGTTCCTCCTACTTCAGGCTCCCAAGAAGCTGGGAATACAGGTGTGTACCACCATGGCAGTTATATATATATATATATATATATATATATATTTTTTTTTTTTTTTTAGTTGGAGTCTCACTCTGTCACCCAGGCCGAAGTGCAGTGGCACACTTACGGCTACCGCAGCCTTGACCTACTGGGCTCAGGCGATTCTTCTGCTTCAGCCTTCCAAGTATCTGGAACTATAGGCTCACGCTACCATACCCGGCTAATTTTTTTATTTATTGTAGAGACAAGGTCTCACCGTGTTGCCCAAGCTGGTCTTGAACCTGTGGGTTCAGGCAATCCTCTCACCTCTGCCGCCCAAAGTGCTGAGATTACAAGCATGAGCCGCCGTATCCAGCTAATTTTTAAAATCTGTTTTGTAGAGATGAGATCTCACTATGTTGCCTAGGCTGGTTTCGAACTCCTGGACTTAAGCAATCCTCTCACCTCAGTCTCCTAAAGTGCTGGGATTACAGGCATGAGCCACTATGCCCAGCCTGGCGTGGTCAACTTTTTCTTACTGAACTATAAAAGTTTGCTCTATACAATCTTATTACATAATCTTTTGGACATTAGATGTGTTTCAGACTTTGATATTTGTCTTTTAATTTTAAGGAATTTTTTTAAATGAGACTTTTAAATTTTTTGCAGTCAAATCCATGAGCCTTTTACTCTATGAGGTCTTTTGTGTCATGCTTAGTTTGGAAAACCACTAACAGAGCAAAAAGCATTGTGTTGTCTTTGGATTTCAAGAAAAACTTTGGGAAGTACTTTTTTTCCAAGGTGTTGCACTAGAAAGCAATCTTAGCACAAGGGATCACTCATCCAGCATTTTATTTAATTAATTTATTTATTTATGTATTTATTTTTATTTTTTGAGATGGAGTCTTACTCCGTTGCCCCATCTGGAGTGCAGTGGCACACTCACAGCCACCCCAGCATCGACCTGCTGGGCTCCGGCGATCCTTCCGCCTCAGCCTTCCAAGTAGCCAGAACTGTAGGCACGCACTACACGCTGGGCTAATTTTTTGATATATTGTAGAGACGAGGTCTCGCCAAGTTGCCCAGGCTGGTTTCAAACCTACAGGCTCTGGCAATCTACTCGCCTCCGCCTCCCAAAGTGCTGGGATTACAGGCTGAGCCACCGAGCCCAGCCTCATCCAGTATTTTAGTCTTTGAATGCTATGCATCTTTTAGAATGCATGGTATGCTTACTGTTAAGTGGCTTTTTCATCAATTAATACACATTTTTAAAATATTCATTAATCTTCACTCTAACCATTGAATAATATGTAATTTACACAATGTTCAACCCTAAAGCAGAAAAAGCCTTAACGTGGACAGCAGAAAGAACATAGACAGCAGGAATAAACAACCCAACTCCATCCTCATGAGCAGAGGCCTTGAGAGCAATAAAGATGCAGCAGGATTGTATTGGCTTTGAGGTTTTTCTTTAACCTTTCGTAAGAGCTCATTAATTTACAAACTAACATCCTTCGTTAAAGAGGGAGTCACATCCAAACTTAAGTTTCCTTAAGAAAAAAGGAAGCTTCCACATTGGGAAGGATTTCGTCTGAGGCCTCATTGGAACAGTCCTTGATTTTCCTATACTTTTTCCTCAGCCTCATTTTAAAAAATTTTCTCATCTTCATTGTGTGACTTTGGCAAGTCACTCCAGACAACTAGCTTGTACAAAGAGAACACATCAGCCTTATGCCTGATCTGGAGTTCAAAGGGACAGCGAGAAGAAAAGAGAAAAGAAAGAGGAAGTGAAAATAACCAAGTTGTTTTGTTTCTACAAATCTAGTCACCTATACTGTTATTTCTCCTTCCTCTTATTCCTCCTCATTCCTCCCCAGAACCAAGAACCATCCACCTTTGTGACAGTTCTCTGTTGCTGAGCAACAGGTCAGGAAAGGGGACTTCACTCACACCCCCCTCCACCCCGCCCGTGATCCCTGGGAGAAGCCTTGGACCCAGGAACTCCGAGGAGGAAGCTATACCACTGCAGAGGGAAGGAGGGAAAGAAGGAGGTCTCTGAGATGCTGCGGCTTGTCGTGGAGTCGGCCAAGATTGACCCGCCCCTAATCCCCCCACCCAGACCCTGCGTGTCCATTGACTTCAGAGGTAAGAGCCAGGTTTTGAGTGGGAGAGAGGAGCCCCAAGAGGTAATGGTTCTTGGCACCCTATTATGTAAAAGAAGCCTTGTGAAACACAAGATGAAGTCGACATTGTCCAGTTCTTTAAAACATTATGGCTATTACTTCTTTTATTATAACTTCTCTGCCTCCAATTTTTGTCAGAGAATGGCTGTGGGTAAAGGAGGGGATTAATGCTTCTTGACCTTCTTCCATAAACTAGGGTCATGCCATAAACTGGGGTTTAAAGACAAAAAAGTACCTGCTTCATAGGGTTGATGTGAAGAGTTAAATCAATTACATATGTCCAGTCCTTAGCACAACTTCTAGTAACAAACTATTCAATAATATGAGCTACTCTTGAAAGCGCTTTACAAGCGACAAGACTTTCACACATTCAGTGCTGTTTGCTCCTCAGCAACTCAGAGATAGATGAGGCAAGTTTTATTATTTCCATCTTTTATAGATAAGGAAACTGAATCCCAAGAAGCAAGGGGAAGAGTGGGGTGAAAGAATTTCAGAGAGACAATGCATGAAATTAAGTCTATCTAGATACCAGAGGGCTGGGAGCAAACAGGGAAGAAGTCAAAGGAAAGACGGTGAAAGTCTAGAGGTAGAGATTGTGGAAGGTAGATTCAGACTGATGAGATTTTGCAGGAACCATCAGCAGTGAAAAAATCGATCCAGGAGAAAAAAGGATGCAATGGATTTTTACAAGAGAAATAAATAAAGTATAAGATTTCTTTTTTTTTTTCTGATCTGTGAAACTATGCTTCTTGAACTCAGAAATTGAACATTTGGACTCCAGTCTCACAGGGTGGCATATGCTTACGCCCTCAGTTTGCAGGTTTAAAGAGCAGTAGCGGGGAGTTGAGTGTATATTTGTCCTGATCGACTTATTTTACAGTTAGCCAAGCAAGCAACTTGAAGCTCCTGATTCCAGGTCATCTTCCCCCCCACCTCCTGGGCACTATCCTTCTCCTTCTAGAAATATATTTTAGATGCCTAAAACCTAGAACTCTGGGCTTACTCACAGATTTACCCACACATTCTTATGATTTCATGCTTATCTTTGATCTTTTTTATTCCTTTTGTCCCTGTCCTTGCCAGCCTCTTCCCTCATATACCACCTACTACTCTTACACCACTTCCCACAACCCACCCTTGCACACACACACACACACACACACACACACACACACACACGCACGCATGCATGCACACGCACACTCTCACATTCTTTCCCTGGGAAGAAGCTCAGAGTAATCAAATTAATTTAGCAATTTCGATACTCTTTGGCAGGTCTATACACTACCATCTGTTAAAGATATTTCTGGGGGAGGGAGGTTTTAGTGGATGAAGTGTTTTGAACCCATTATAGATGTTAATAGGTGTCTTAGGATACACTCGGCTTTGCTCTGGTAATAAATAAACCCTTACATTTCAATGGCTTAACAATAAAAGTTTACCTCTTGCTCATACCAAGCCCTGCTTGGAAGGTGCAAGTTAGATAGCTCTCCTGGGTGGCTCTCCAACAGTACTTTAGGGACCAGCTGCTTTCCCCTTTGGCTGTGACATCACCCTGCCAGCAAATTACAGGGAGAGGAGAAGCAGCATGGAAAATCCAGTGGAGACTTTAGGAGCCAGACCTGACAGTGGCAAACATCACTCCCTTACTCTGTTAGCCAGAATGAGTCACACTACTTGGATGCAAGATGCCAGGAAGAAACTATGCAACTAGGAAGAAAATGAAATAACATCTATCACACAGGGTGATAAAAAATGAAATTTTGAAACCCTTGGAAAAAGAAATTCATTCAGAAACAATTGATGCCAGATCATACCTGCCAATGTAGAGTTGAAGTGTTCTTTTCTCTCCTCTCCTCTCCTCCCCTCCCTTCCTCTCCCCTCCCCTCCTCTCTCTCTCTGTCTCTCTCTCTCTCTTTCTTCCCCTCCCTCCCTCCCTCCCTCTTTCTCTGCCTCCCTCCTTCTCTCCCTCCCTCCCTCCCTTCTTTCCTTTCCAGAGGCTCAAGGTGTTGCCCAGGCTGGAGTGCAGTGGTGCAATCACAGCTCACCGCAGCCTCAGTCTCCTGGGCTCAAGCCATTTTCCTGCCTAAGCCTCCTGAGTAGATGGGACTACAAGCATGTGCCACCCTACCCAGCTAATTTTAAATTTTTTTAGATTAAAAAATGTAGTTTATTTAAAAGTAAATTAGAGAGAGAAAGAGAAGGGAGAGAGATTCACCTCCCCAAGGTGGGGGAGGGGGGCCAAGGCCAGGAAGCATGGCGACGCCAGAGGCTAGCAAGGCAATGGCCCTAATTTTTAATTTTATAGAGACAAGGTCTCACTATGTTGCCCAGACTGGTTTTGAACTTTTGGCCTCAAACATTCCTTCTGCCTCAGTCTCCCAAAGTGCTGGAATTACAGACGTGAGCCACTGCACCCAGCAAAACTTTTCTTAGAGTGTTCTATTTGGTTTCTTTGCAGATGTCAAGAAAAGAACTCAAGTGGTTGAAGGGAATGACCCCATATGGAATGAGGTAGACACCAGGGCAAGCCCAGAAGAGGAAATGACAGCCCCAACAGCATGGTGGCCGGGGTGGAGTCTAGGCAGGTGCTCAAGAGTCTAAGGAGCAGACAGGAAGCCTCACAGGCTTTTCTCAAGTTTGGGGCATCTTACCTAGGAGTAGTAGCCTCCAATCCAGCAAGTCTGTGAAGGCCATGTCTGCCCACAGCTGTTCTTGGTCCTTCTTCCCCACTTTGGGGATGGACTAGGCCTGATACTCCTAGAAGTCAAAGCAGAGCGAAGGCTTCGTGTGCAGAATCCTTTCTCATCTTCCATCCATCTATGCTTTCCCACCCTTAGCCCCAGTCTCCAAACCCCTTAACCCCTAACACGTCCATGATACTGCAGTTCAAGTTGTGGAAGCTCAGGTAGGATGCCCCACATTTTGGTGAAAGGTGACAAAACCTGTCTCCTTTAGGAAATTAGACATGGATTTAGAGAAACACAATGCCAGCTTGTTCCCCACGTTGCTCATAATTTCCTAGAAGGATGAGATGGGATGGGCTGAGGAGGGAGGCTGACCTCTCTGTGCCCCCCACAGACCCTAATCTGGCACCTCTGGAACCGTCCCCTGAAAAATGACTCCTTCCTACAAGTCGTCCTTCTGGATATGAGCTCAAAAAAGGAAGAAAGGTGAGGAAGAGAAAGGCAGGAGGTGCCTAACTCCCTGGCCAAAACAACAGCAGGTGACCATTCTTGTCTCTAATTCCTAACTCATTCAGATTCAAGGACCAGAACCACTCCAGCCAGCTAAAGGGAAACAAAGAGGGTTGGGTGTTGGAAGGGTAGCCGGGCCAAGAGTGCAGATCAGCTTGGACCACGTACTTGGGAACCTAACAGTAGCTCTGTCCAGCTGAAGCCACAGATCTCGGACTTCTATTTTTCTCTAACCAACCCTGACTTCTCATCACGGCCTCACTCTAGTGCCCAACTGGGACTAACATCTCCCTGAGACCGAAGCTAAGGCATCCCAGGTCGAAATTCCGAGGACAGAGAATCTGATTGGCTCAGTTCAGGCCAGGGTCCACCCCGGTCCAATCAGCAGTTATTTCCCTGAGAGCTCTAAACCAATTCCAGAGTCAAGGGTCACCACATTCTCTGCCTTACTGCGGTCTTCTCCAGCCTCTCTGAGGACAACACAGGCTCTTGGAGCAGAGGAAGACACCTTCCCTGGCTCAGGATCTTACACCCACTCTCCTCTCCCCAGGTTCATCGGCCTGGCCACAGTACTGCTCAAGCCATTGATGAAACATCCGCATGAGATCCTTTTTGTGAAGGACTTGACCTTGCTCAACCATTCCATGAGGCCCACAGATGTAAGTCAGGCCCAGTCAGGGCATGGGAGTGCTTCCTTCCCCGGGGTGGGGTGGGGGGAGAGGCGCTCCATCACACTGCCATCATCGGCTTTCCCCTTCTTCCACCATCTTCCTATCCCCCTTCTATCCATCTATTTAGATGGATGGATTGACCTTCCACTGAGAGTTAGCCTTGACGCAGAACTGAGAAGCCTATAGTCAGCTGGTGTAGACACCACTCATACTGACATGCCCTCCAGCCACACCAGACAAGATTCAGTAAAGCTAGGCCACCAAGTTCAGGAAGGAGTGAATGATTCTTCTTGGGAGGCAATGGATGGCTTTACAAAGGTGGTGATGTTTAGACATATGGAAAAAAATCAAACAAATGAGAACAAACAAAGGCTATTTGTTCAGAGCTTGCTCTAGCAAGTGAGTTAGCCACCATCACCTGTGTTTTGGCAGAGACTCAGAGTGGTAAAAAGAGAAGGTTTTAGACTCTACCTGGAGGTTCTTGGTGTGGGGGAACTAAAAGCAAACTAACTAGAAATGGGGCCTCCTGTGTGATTGGTTAGGGAGGCATGTTTGACTTTCTCTGGTTGGTCCTAAGTTGGAGGAAGTGGGGACACAAATCAGGACAGCTGTCAGGTATTAATCAAGCCTTGGCATTTGGGGCTGATCGTTATTGTTCAGTTTCCTGGGTTGTGGCTAGAGATAGCAGTCTGACTTCCTGCAAGTCTGACTTAGAGCAGGCTGGCATCCTGGGCTGGTTACTGTAGATTATGGGTTGGCTTTCTGGGCTGGTTACTGCAGATGTCAGGTCAGAGTTCTATTTTATAGGTGGTTTGGTCATTGTTCATTTGCATACAGACAGTCCTTGATTTATATTTTTGACCTATGATGGGTTTGTCAGGATGTGACCACATCATAAGTAGAGAAGCACCTGTGTTTCGTCTCTCAGTTGAATCTTACGGAGGGGGGTGAGTTTGCCCACTAGACAGGAAAGGAAGACAAACCCAGGCAGGGGTGTAAAGTGGTTGGAGAACGAGGCAGACTGGGAGGCTGTGCCGCCTGCTATAGCACAAGGTGCTACACAGTGTAGGGTCAAGGCGGGCTGGGAGAACTGAGGCTGGGTGGATGGCAAGGGGCCAGAGGGGAAGAGCCTGGTGGTCCATACTGATGAGTTGTGACTTTACTCTGATAATTTAGGGCACTCAGGGGGTGTTTAGGGGGCAATTCTGGTAACCATCTGGAGGCTAGATGAATGATGGGAATACGTGGATGCAGGAGTCAGTCAGGAGGTGCGGGAATTCCCACATGAGCTCATGAGATGGTGGGCTAGGGGAAGAACTGTTAGCATCCATGGTTCTGGACTGGTCCCAAATCCCCTTTTCCTCTCCTCCCCACACTGCTGCACCCACTTCTGCCCCTGTCAACACCACATGGCTTCTTTATTCTCCAAATCCCCTCCACCACAGCCCATTGCTCTCACTTCACCCATTGATAACTCCCTCCACCGAGACTTCACAGGTGCCAGGTTTGGCCCCATCCCATGGCCTGCATCACACCCCCAGAAGGACTGGGCGTGAACCTAACTAGAGTTTGGTTCTGGTGTTGTGGCTTGGCCAAGGATGACAGGGTCTAGCTTACAGCTCCCTGCCTTTGCCTTGCAGTGTACTGTCACCCTACAGGTGGCCCATATGACCAAGCGGGATATTGAGAAGACAGGTATGTCCTTCCCTGGGTCTTATCTCCTGCCCTTCTCCAAGCACAGCTGGATGGGCTCTTTGGAACCTTCAGGACCCAGCCCTTGAGGCCTACAGAAGGAATGTGTCTAGGTTAGGGGTCTGATCTCCAGATATCGGGCTGAGGCCACCCCAGTATGTTCACTCATCATCTCTAGACCTAAGACCTGTAGGATATGATGTACCCTTCCAATGGGCTGCAGCGGGAGATGAGGATGGTCATTTCCAAGAGGACTTGCATGTGGAGGGGGGTCCAGGGCTCTGCAGCTCCTGAGGGTAGGAAGGGTCCATGGTAATGTTCTGGGGAGGACGTGTGCCCCTGCCAGGGCCTGTTGGCCATGCTTTTAATCAGGAGTTGGTCATTGGGGACAGAATGATGTAACGGGGAAAATGTCTCCAAATCTCCTGGGTCCTGGGCCTCTGAGCCCACCCTGGACTGTGTTTCCTCAGGAGATGAAGACCTCTTGGGCATAACTGCAAGAGAGGTGGCCACGCAGAAACTGGTGGTTCCTGGCTCCACTGCGCACAGGGCTCTGTCCTCAAAGCCTCAGCACTTTCAGGTGAGGATTCTCCAGGTTGAAATCCACGTGACTCACCTGCACCCTGCTTGCTGTGATCCCAGGCCATCACCTCCCATCCACAAGGTCATGGTAGAGGGGTAGAGCTTCAGATGCAGCTTCAGATACTCAGACCCATGCTGCATCCCCTGCTCCTCTGGGGGGGCCATTCTGGGGTACTTCTGCCTGAGGCTGAATTAGACACAGCTCCAGGGAGGCAGTAGGAGGGGCCGACTGTGCACCAGCAGGTCTTGATACATACTGGAAAGGCAGTGTAGAAGGCAGGGGTCCCTCCTTTCTGGAGTCCTCAGATTGTTGGCAAAACAAGGCAAGGCATGTACAAAGTTAAATTAACTGTCCAGGAGAGGCTGGGGAGTTGATTAGGGGACTGTGGGATGGACCACGGTTTCCATGTGAATTCAGGAGTCCCATAGCTTATCAAATTTCCTGTGGCCGGGGCTCGTTGGCTCAGCCTGTCATCCCAGCACTTTGGAGGCCAAGGCGAGTGGATTGCCCGAGCCCGTAGTTTTGAGACCCGCCCAAGCAACTTGCCAAGACTTCGTCTCTACAATAAATCAAAAACTAGATGGGCGTGGTAGCGCACGCCTGTAGTTCCAGCTACTTGGAAGGCTGAGGCGGAAGGATCGCCGGAGCCCAGCAGGTCAAGGCTGCGGTGGCCAGCAGCATGCCACTGCACTCCAGCCTGGATGACAGAGTGAGACTCCAATTCAAAAAAAAAAAAACGTCCTGTGGCCTTTAGCCCGTAGACTAATATTTTTGCCATGGTTTTGCCTGTCATGCAGCCTGCTCCTTGCCCAGAAAACTGGAGGTCTCCTTGTATCCAGGCGATGGCCAAGTCCTAGCTCTTACTGTCACCTGCTGCCCCCACTTCTCCCACTTCTCCCTCCCCACTTCCATTCTCTGGCCTGAGTCATTGCCATTGCTTCCCTGATCCCCATTAATGGCCTCCTCCCGAACTCCTAAGCCTCCAGTTCTCTCCTGTCCATTCTTCAACCAAAGTGACCTCTTCTTTTTTTTTGAGTTGGAGTCTCACTCACTCCATCGCCCAGGCTGGAGTGCAGTGGCACACTCACGGCCACCTCAGTGTCGACCTGCAGGGCTCCGGTGATCCTTCCGCCTCAGTCTTCCAAGTATCTGGAACTATAGGCACGCGCTACCACACCCGGCTAATTTTTTATTTATTGTAGAGATGAGCTCTCGCCATGTTGCCTGGGCGGGTCCCGAACCCACAGGCTCAGGCAATCCAATCACCTCGGCCTCCCAAAGTAGTGGTATTACAGGCTGAGCCACCGAGTCTGGCCCAAAGTGATCTTTTAAAGATGTCATTCTTATCATGCCACACACCTGCTTCAAAAATCCCAATGTGGCCAGGCACGGTGACTCACGCCTGTAATCCTAGCACTTTGGGAGGCCAAGGTGAGAGGATTACTTGAACCCATGAGTTCGAGACCAGTGAGACCTTGCAACATAGTGAGACCTCATCTCTACAAAAATTTTTTTTTTTAATTAGCCGGGTGTGGTGGTGTGTGCCTGTAGCTCCAGCAACTTGGGAGCCTGAGGTGGAAAGATCACCTGAGTTCAGGAGGTCAAGGCTGCAGTGAGTCACGATCATGCCCCTGCACTTCAGCCTGGGAGGCAGAGTGAGACCCAACTCAAAACAAAAACAAAAACAAAAACAAAAAAATCTCTAATGTACTCAGGACAAAACCCAGTCCCTGTTGACAATGGTTGCCCAGGTCCTTGATAACCCACGCCTGCTTCTCCAAGTCTATCTCCTCCCAGTCTACTGGTGGATGCTCTTTCTATCCATGGTAACCAAAATATTCCTCATCAGAATAATTTCATTCCTGAGAGAAGAGTCCCTGCTGGAGAAGGGGGGCCAAGGGCCCCAACATTAGCTCACCCTGTGATCTTCTTTGTAGGTTCGAGTGAAGGTGTTTGAGGCCCGACAGCTTCTGGGTAACAACATCAAGCCAGTGGTGAAGGTGTCAATTGGTGGCCACCAGCAGCAGACACGTATCAAGATGGGAAATAACCCTTTCTTCAATGAGGTGGGCTGAAGGGGATACCTCAGGCAGGGGGCCAGCCAGGGGCTGGGCATCTCCGGTAGGCAGTCGGCAAACTTGCTTCTTGACTAGGGTGTCTTCGTGTGTTTGCTCCACAAGTATGTACTGAGTGCCTGCTGAGGGCCAAGCACTGTGCTTGCCCTGGGAACACAGAATAGGATCATTCAGAGCCTTGAATCTGAGGAGCTGGTGGTCTGGTGGCATCACAGCACATGAGCCCATAAACAATTGCAGTGGGGCAGACTGGATTTGGCAGGTGTCTGGGAGTGTTGTTAACAGAGCCGTGAAGTGCAGGCCCAGACCACACGCATCTCATCTTTACCAGCACCCCTAATTGTAGCACTGGATGTGGTGCACAGTAGGTGCTATATACTCATTGAATTAATTGGTAAATAGATAAACAAACAGAAGCTGAGAGTAGTGAGTAAGTAATGAGACTGGGAGCAGTGAAGAGGACTCAGAAAAGCCTCCAGAAACCCTGAAGGGAGAGTTTGTCAGGGAAAGACAGACAGGATGGGGAAAGATCATTCGAAGACCCAGATGCAAGAAGCAGCATGACTTGATGGCAGAACTATAGATACGGTGTGGCTGGTGGGGACTGACTGGAGGTGAATCTACAATATAGACTGAGGTCTCAACCTGGATGGCACTCGGGAGCCACGGAGGACTTAAGCGGGAAAGTAACAGGGCTAGGTTTGCATTTGGGGAAGGAGGTTCCGGCTGTCACAGGGAGTAGGGGTGGGGTGGACTTGCAGGAAGTGCGGGCTAATATCTCCATCCTGGGCATCTGGTTGGACCTTGAGCTACTAAGTTCTTCAGAAAGCCCCTACCCCCTGCCTTTGCTGGGCAGAAAACCCTCCAGGAGCCTGGGAGGAGCTTGAGAATAGTTGTACGGGTTGAGTTTCCTTATCCAAAATGCTTACGACCAAAAGTGTTTTAGATTTTTTTTGAATATTTGCATTATACAGATATAATATAATTAGCATCTCTAATCTAAAAATCCATAATGCTCCAATGAACATTTCCTTTGAGCATCATGCCGGCATTCAATAAGTTTCAGAATGTGGAGCATTTCAGATTCAGATTTTTAGATTAGGGATACCTAGCCTGGGCTTATAAAATGGGCCACATTATTCTGAGCCTTCAGGCTCGCTGAATGCTTGGGTGAAGCGGTAGAAGAAACATTGTCCCCCCATAACCCAATTCTGTGTGCCTCAGACCTTCTTCCAGAATTTTCATGAGGTTCCTGCAAAGTTCTTTGATGAGATCATCTTACTCCAGGTGAGAAGCCAAATTGGTCCCCAGCAAGATGGGTCCACTTTTCTTGTCCCACCTCAATACAGGGAAGCTCTTTAGTCCCCACCCTTAGACTCAAGGTCACTTCAGATTGTCACCTGACTCCAGAGCAACATCTTCACCACTTTCTTCGCTCCCCGCAGCAGCCGAGAATCCTCATTCCGTCATTCATTCATTCAACAAACATTATGGGTTGCCAACTGCCAGGCCCTGAATTGGGAACTCCCTTGCAGGTGGTGAACTCCTCAGCGATGAGATACAAAGCAGAGATCGGGAGATTCCAAGTGAGTACAGATAAGGGAGGAGGCTTGGAGAAACAGATAGACCCATGCTGGGCTCCTTACCCAAGTCCAGGGGAAAAGACTTGGATTTTCACATAGAGAGATCCAGACTTGGACCCCCCTACCAACTAGGTGACAAGTGATTCTGAGCCTCCACTTTCTCATCTGTAAAATGGGGGTAATAATACACCCAACCCAGGCTGGTCTCAAACTCCTGGACTCAAGCAATCTGCCTGTCTCCACCTCTCAAAGTGCTGGGATTATAGGTGTGAGACACTGTGCCCAGCTCTCTTTTTATGTTAGTAACAGTCATTGATAATCACTGCCTAGATCTGTTACTTCATTAGGGGTTATTTGCTTCTTGCACCTGTATTGAGGTACAGTTGACACATAATGAATTTAAAATGTACAATTTGATACAGTAAAAAACATGTACACATTTGAGAAATCATCGTCACAATCAAGATAATGAATATATTTATCACATCCATCACCCATGGCAATTCCTCCCTTTCATTCCCATCCCACCTCCTCCAATCCCCAGGTGACCACTGATCTGTTTTCTGTCCCTTTCTTTCTTTCTTTTCTTTACTTTTCTCTCTCCATCCTTCCCTCTCTTCCTCTCTCTCTCTCTCTCTCTCTCTCTCTCTCTCTCTCTTTTCTTCTCTTTCTTTCTTTTTTTTGAGTCGGAGTCTCACTCTGTCACCCAGGCTGGAGTGCAGTGACATACTCACAGCCACCCCAGCGTCGACCTACTGGGCTCAGGCAGTCCTTCTGCCTCAGCCTTCCAAGTAGCCAGAACTACAGGGCACATGCTACCGCGCCCAGCCTGATCTGCTTTCTGTTACTATAGATTAGCATGCATTTCCTAGAGTTTCATATAAATGGAGCCATGCAGTGTGTACCCTTTTTTGTTGGCTTCTTTCACTAGACATAATTATGCTGAGATTCTTCCAAGTTGTGTGTATCAGTAATTTATTCCTTTTTATGGCTGAGTAATAGTCCATTGTATGGATGTACCACAGTTTGTTTATCCATTTTCTTGTTAATGGACATTTAGATTGTTTCCAGTTTGGGGCGGTTACAATGAAGCTATAAACATTTGTGTGTCCAAATCTTAGTATGGGCATGTGCTTTCATTTCTTTTGGGTAAACATGTAGAAATAGAATGATTAAATCATATGGTAGGTGAATGTTTGACTTTTTAAAGAAAATTCTGAGTCTCCACTCAACAGTTTTTCCCAAAAAATCCCAAACAGGCTCTATCTTTTTTTTTGGAGTCAGGGTCTCACTTTATCACCCAGGCTGAAGTGTAGTGGCATGATCACGATGATCATAGCTCACAACAGCCTTAACTTCCTGGGCTCAGGTGATCCTCCCACCTCAGCCTCCCATGTAGCTGTGACACCATCCCACCTAGCTAATTTTTAAATTTTTTTGTAGAGGTGAGGTTGCACTATGTTGCCCAGGCTGGTGTTGAACTCCTGGGCTCAAGTAGTTCATCTGCCTCAGCCTCCCAAAGTGCTGGGATTACAGGTGTGGCTTTGTTTATTTTAGCCATTCTACCCATGCATGGTAGTATCTCATGATTTTAGTGTACACTTCCCCGATGACGATGCTCAACATCTTCTCATGCACTTGTCACCCATGTATATTCACTGGTGACATGTCTATTCAAATCTTGTGCTCATTTGCAACAGATTGTTTGGATTCTAACTATTGAGATAAGATTTGCAAATGTTTTCTCCCAGGATGTGACTACCCTTTCATTTTCTTAACAGTTTCTTTCCAAAAGCAGACATTTTCCATTTTGATGAAGTCCATTTTATCAAGCATTTCTTTTATCGGATTGTGCTTTTGTTGTTGTACCTGAGTCTTTGCCTACCTCACCCAAAGAGGTGACTGGGTTTTAAAGCAGGTCTACACCAGGCGCAGTGGCTCAAGCCTGTAATCCCAGCACTTTGGGAGGCCGAGGCGAGTGAATTGCCTGAGCCCTCAGGTTCGAGACCAGCCTGGACAACTTGGCGAGACCTCATCTCTACAATAAATCAATTTTTAAAATAATAAAAATAAAAATAAAAAAGCAGGTCTACATACATAATTTGGGGATTGATCTAGAGAACCTTCAGATGTGGACTACAAGGGCAGACGCTCAGTGGTTCCACACGTCCCCTTCAATCCTATACCACATCCTCAGGCTTCTGTTGGAAGTCATCTCCCCAGGGAAAGGAAAAGCCCGTCTTCTCATTGTCAACCCCTACCTGAACCATCCTCTTCTCCTAGGATGGAATATCCCTTCCCCCACCCAGGGATAGGGCAGGGTTGGCTCTGGTGGCCAGGGAGGTGGTCCAGTGTAGTGTCAAGGATCGTTTTTATGCAGCCTTCATCACTTACTAGTAGTAGGACTTTAGACACTTCTCTCAAACTTACTGCCCTTCTCTAGAGAGTGGAGGTGATAATGGACCTACCTTCTAGGTTGCTGTAAAGATTAAATAAGTTAGGGTAGCCCTACCATGCTCAAGTGCCAGTAGCTAGTATTGTCATTGCATTATTTGGTATTATAAGTCTTGGCTGGAGGCCCTAGCTAATCCTCACTCTACTTTTGTCTTTTCAGACAGATATTGGGCTTATCTACCATTCTCCAGGTAGGTGCCTCTTATAACAAATACGCGTATCTTCTGAGAAAAATTAGGTCAGAAGTCAAAACACCTTTAAATCCCCATGTGTCCAACAGATAGTTCGAAGAGGGTAGTATCAGAGGGTTATTTTGTAACCTTGTAACACTTGTAAATTATTTTTTGTATTTGATAATATTTTACTATACATATGGTATTTTATCTTGCTTTATAATAATTGCATCTTTTTCTGAAAAATTCAGGACATCCCTTTGGATCAAAGTTAACCCCTTATTGCAATCCTGGGTTAGATTTCTATTTTTTTGAGACCACTATTGGGAGACTGACGTCTGAGTGGAGGTTTCCACCATGACCTGACCATAACATACACATCAGGTTGAGATTTGGATTTGGGGTTGGGAAAGATACTTGCTTCTTTAGTGTCTGGTTCCAGACCAGGCCTGTAACAACATGAAGTTCCCAGGGCAGAAACTTTCCTTAAAAGCAAAGGGTTGGGTCTCATGCCTGTAATCCCAGCACTTTGGGAGGCCGAGGTGAGAAGCTTGTTTGAACCCAGGAGTTCGAGAACAGCCTGGCAACATAGTGAGACCTCATCTCTATAATTATGTCAAAAAAAGCCACTCAGGAGACTGAGGCAGAGGATTTGCTTGAGCCCAAGACATTGAGGTTGTGGTGAGCAGTGATTGTGCCACAGCACTGCAGCCTGGGCAACAGAATGAGACGCTGACTCAGAAAAATAAAGGAAAAAAAACTGGGCGCAGTGGCTCATGCCTGGAATCCTAACACCTTGGGAGGTTGAGGCAAGAGGACTGCCTGAGCCCAAGAGTTCAAGACCACCCTGGGCAACATGGCAAGACCCTGTCTCTACGATAAATCAAAAATTAGCCAGGCATGGTGGCCCACACCTGTAGTCCCAGCTACTTGCAAGGCTGAGACAGAAGGATCACCTGAGCCCAGCAGGTCGAGGCTATGATAGCCGTGATTGTGCTATTGCACTCCAGCCTGAGCAATAGAGTGAAACTCTGACTTAAAAGAAAAGAAAAAAAAATGTCAGTGGCAGCCTTGAGAGCACACCACTGCTTCCTGGTAGGAAAGACTCCCATTTTCCTCTACCACTGGGTAGGAAAACGGAATACATGAGACATGTTTCCACCTCCCTCTTCTCCCCAATGGCTGGTTTCAGGGGAGAGAGGCGGAGACTGAAGGCGGGTCTTCCATGGCCCCTCTGCCTCTCCAGGTCACACACTCCTGAGGAAATGGCTAGGTCTCTGCCAGCCAAATAACCCTGACGATGGCGTGAGAGGCTACCTGAAAGTCACTATCTGTGCCCTTGGTGTGGGAGACCAGACCCTGGTGAGACTGCCCCCCATACCCTAGGAACATTTCCTACCCTGGCTGCTTCCTGGGGGTACCTCTGGGCCCTCACACTAGCCATTGACCCTCACACCCCTCCTTTGCCCATTGTGTCACTGCAGGGCTGTCCCACTCCCCCTGAGCCAAGTGGGAGATTGAGGAAGCAAAGTCTGGTGGCTTTGATTGTTGTCTCCCTGTGACCCTGACTCTACCAGCTCTCTGGTCTCTCCAGGTAGATCAAGAGTCTCCCTATGGGGCTGATGACACCCAAATTCAGATCTTCAAGTCAGCGGCAGTCCCGATCAACCTGGCTTACTTGCAGTTCTTCATCTACTGCGCAGAGGACCTGCATCTCAGTTAGTCGGGCTGGCAGTGGAGGGAGCAGCCCTGAGGGTTTCTATACAGTGGCACCCTGGATCCTCATGGAGCTTCCCTTCCTTTTGACACTAACCTAAGATTTGGGATGGGGACACAAGATGAACCTGAAATCCACCAGGAATCAACCTGTCTGTAACATCCCGATGCAGAGTCAACATTCCCTGTGTCCCTTCCTACCATGTCATTGTGTGGAGGAAGAAGCGGCACAGTGGTTACTGGAGACAGGTCTACCCAGGGAGCACTACACTAAATTATGGGGCAGGAGCCGGGCTCGGTAGCTCAGCCTGTAATCCCGCGCCTTTGGGAGGCTGAGGTGAGTGGATTGCCTGAGCCTGCGGGTGA